GCCAACGCCTTCCGAGCCTTCCCTCCCCCCACCACAGCCTGTTTTCTCTAACAACTCTTTTTGTCAAAACCATCTACAGGAGTCCTGTCTGATTCCCAGGCTTCATGCCACTCCGCTGGAATTCTGCCCCTCCCTGCCTCCTTGAAACTGAAGAACAGCTTGTGAGCAATCTCTTGGTAATAGTGTTCCATATGTCTAAAGCAGCCTTTTTCTTCCAGAGTAATTAATCCCCCTCCATTTTTTTTTAGCACCTGGCTGTATTTCCCAAGTCATCTCACACCTATGTGGATCATACTTAGGCATTTCTCTTTTTTCTTGGAAATAACTTTGCAGAACTGACCAATATCACACACAACCATGTCACAGTCCCTTCGTGAGTTCTGTTTGAAGCTCTGTGTGAACCGGTCTGCCGGGCTGCAGAGACACATCTCAATTCGCCAAGTTCAGATTCCAGTAGAGATTTCTCCAGAAAGGAACTCCAAGTTTCCAGTTCTCTGATTTGACTTAGCTTCAAATTAGACAGGTTGTGAAAATTCACACTATCAAGAGAATGAAGTTGGATTACCCAACATTTGCTTTCTTCCATTTTTCTTCAAGAATATAGAGAAGAGTGGAGCATATATTTTTAAAAATTATCTATGTGCATTAATTTATATATTGCAATTTATAGAAACTGAACACCTTCAAGGACAGATCAAAAAGTGGCAATTTTGAAGAGAAATAAAATGGCTTATAAGCAATGACACAGCACCCTGACATGTCTTAGAGTATGATTCTTTACCAGATAAAGACAGTTTCTAGTTTAAACTATTGGGTTTCATGTGATCTTGTCACAGTCAGAGAAAATTCAGAGAAAAAAATCTGTTGTTATTACTGTCATTATTATTACTGTTAAGTGCACTGACTGTCTCCAGCAGCCAGGTGGGGTGGGGGAGGGGCAAGGCCAGCGTGGCCGGCGGGTGCCGAGCTCACAGGTAACTCACGCCGCTTGCTGCAGGAGGAGTGGTGCTGGATCTGCACACGTTCAGGAGACAGAAGAGCATCTCTGTAAGATGGAGATCCTGGCGACCAGCACACGCCAGCACCCATGCTTCCCAGACCTCAGCTGCCCCTTGACTTTGTGGGTCCTTCAGTTGTGAAATGAACTTCCTGAAGCCTACTACTGCTTTTTTGTTGGTTGTGGGGCTTGAACTCAGAGCCTGGGCACTGTCCTGAACCCTTTTGCTCAAGGCTAGTGCTCTACCACTTAAGCCACAGTGCCACTTCCAGGATTCCAGTGGTTCATTGGAGATGAGTCTCACGGACTTTGCTGCCTGGGCTGGATTTGAACCGCGGATGCTCGGACCTCAGCCTCCTGAGTAGCTGACAGGTGTGAGCCACCGGCATCCCACCCACTGCTGCTTTTTGTCACGTGTACACTAAGGACTCTATCATTTTTCCTTGGTACAAGTAGTAAGTAGTATAACTAGGACGTGTTTCCGTTAGCAATGTGATGAAAATGGGGATTACCAGCAGGAAATCGGATGGTGGAAGAATAGGCAAAGCTGGAGGTAGCATGGTTATACTCGTTTCCCTATTTGACCCTCAAACTGTCTCTGCATCAAGGGCGACTCTGCGAGACGTGTAGTTTCCACCCTGTCCTTCACTTACTCAGAGCAAACCGTCTCTACTTAAGGACTAAGATATCGGTTAACAGGCTGGAGCTCACGGAAAGCGGTCATACCACCACCACCACCACAGCAACAGAGATGGAGACACAGCAAGTCTAAGACAAGGACACCATTGATGGAGAGAGGCAGGGGACAGGGCAAGGGGGGACGGAGGATGAGCGGACAGTGAGGCGAGAGGCAGAGGTGTCATGCACGGACACATACATCCGGACGCATGACGGAAGAAACAGCGGCGTTTTCATTCATTATCAGTTAATGTAAATAGTGGAGTCAGTTAATAGTAGACTCAGCATTTTTTTTGGGGGGGGTCCGGTCGTGGGGCCTGAACTCTGGGCCTGGGCGCTGTCCCTCAGCTCTTCAGCTCAAGGCTAGCGCTCTACCACTGGAGCCTCAGCATCACCTCCGGTTTTCTTTCTTTTTGCTTATGTGGTGCTGAGGAATCGAACCCAGGGCCTCAGGCATGCAAGGCAAGAGCTCTACCACTGAGCCATCTTCCCAGCCCCAGACTCAGCATTTTTGAGTTGACCATTTCTTCAGCAGACATTTTCCTGAGCACCAATGATGTGGCAGATGCCAGGAAAGGCAGCCTCAGCACACCACGAGGGCTGGTCAGGACTCTCCCCTAATGGTGCGCACTACGCTGTTCCATGCGCACCCCTGCATGGTTCTCTTCCCGCTCGGCGCTGCAGCCCCGTAGCGCCTCTGCTGCTCCCCAGACCCCCAGCTGCTTCCTGGTGGCAGTGGGATGACCCCAGGCCACAGGACGGGCAAACAAGCTGGGGGACGGGTCCCTTTTCACGTAGTTAGTGTTGGAAGAGGAGAAGAGGAAAGGAAGGGGGACGCTGAAGAGGTAAAAGATGAGAAGAATAGCGGACGGGGCTGCTGGGTCTTACGTAGAAGGAAAGGACTTCAAGCACTAATTCATGACATGGATTTCACGCTTCCTGAAAGTAACCACGTGTTGTTGGAGGAGCCGCCTGGGGGAAGATTCCAGATCTTTCTTGAGCTGTTCCTGTGGCTGCAGGCGGTGCAGCTCTACCGCCCACTCTGGCGAGTCTCCAGCTCGCCGGCCTGGCATTGTTACTCCCCGGCACACTGCTCCTCCTGCTCTCAGCTGAGAAGGGATTCTTGCTACTCTGCCTACAAATGCCTCAGCTTCCTCCCAGATCTTCCCCTCGATCCACCGAACGCTCGGGGGACCCTGTCCGCATGTGGGCCCGACACCGTCCACAGTGCTGGAGCACCTGTGTCCACACTTCAAATGGCACTGAACGCTGGAAGAGGCCATCACAGACGCCTGCAGGCGCAGCACACAGGGCTTGCGTCAGACCACGCGTGGCGGCTCACCTCTGCTGAACTGGCAGTGAAGTGAAGGACAGGGTTTGGGAAAGGCCACCCTGGAAGATGAGGGCAAGAGGAGAAAGAGCAACAGCCACCAACCATGTCCCAGGTTCCACGCCATCTGTTAGCAAATTCCCGAATCTGCTGACACATCTGTGGGGGGCCAGCTAGACGCCCCCCACCTGGGTCTCCTGAGAGGGGGCAATGAGCCCACAGGGGGCCTGAGGCCCACGGAGACCACGCAGAGAAAGAACGCTGAGCAGATGCTCACGGTCCATCTGCATTTGCCTGGTCTGAGTGTGTGGGGCCTGCGCCGTGAGCCTTCCCGGCACGCACAGGCTGCCGTGGGATCATGGGACCGGCGCGTGCCAAAACACTGCTTCTTCAGTCTGTATTTTCATGAGGGTGGCGGGTTAGTTTTTAGGCAGTGATGATGGCTTTATGTGTCTTTTTCCGTAACTGTGACATGCCATAGACTGCAGTGGTACATTTTCCTTCACCCTCTCCTTCACTTGCTCTGGTGAGGGGAAGGGTGGTGGAGGCAGAGCAGGACGTTGACACAAATGAACAGGAACGTTCTGACTGCTGGACCCCACCTCGGGGAAACAATGCCGAGGCTTCCAGAAGCAACCACATCTAACTTATTAAATAAGCCTGCCTGGGGAAACACTCTGCATTGTTTTGTCTCCCTAAATCTAGTTTTCTAATTTGTCTTACAATATGACCTCCTTCTATTTGTGGCTGTGGTATAAATTCAGGTACTTAAAATATTATTTAACTTCAGGATATTCTGAAACTTTTGATATCAAGTCAGAATACATTATTTTTACATTTATCAAAATTAAGCAACTTACTGGGGATTTTTTCATGCTGATACTATGAAATGGGCAAACGGTAAAGACATGAATTTTCAAGGTTTTATTCAATATTATCCACTTAAATGATATCTTTGGGTTTGGAAGGCTTCCTAGGAAATCTGTTAAAATATCTCCCAGATGAATATGGATATCATTTTCTTAAGATATGGGCTTTTCAACTTACTTGCTTTTTTTAGTGTGTTATGACCTTGTTTCTACTTCGATCAGAGGAGAACAGCATTATTTCAGTTAATGCTGAAATTGCAGCATCTGGTATTTACTGTTTATTTCTACATCTCCATTTACTAGCTGAATTTCTCACATTTACTGATATTTTCCATGCCCACAAGCTAACCCTCTGTTATAAACACATTTATATGTTATGCCTGATCTCCAAGATCCTCATAGTTACGTTGTGGGAGTTAACTCCACATAACTGAAGTTAAGTGATTAGGAACTCTGATAGAGATGCATTATGCAAATTGTAATTATGGAGTCTAGAAAGGACCCTGAGGTCTTATCGTCTTAAAAAATAACACTGTGTTTTTAAATGAATCATAATACTGCAATCTAGTGTGATCAAAACTCTGCCCTGCTTCTGCCCCCTATGCCCACACTGTAAACACCATGGCGAGTGACTGCACATCATCAGATTTAAATCCTCGGTGTGAAGTCGTTGAGCACGGCAGGCGTGAGGACGTGGTGTAAATCATGTGCTATCCCATTGTTTTAGGAGGACAGAAGAGCAGCTGGCTCCCTGGACCTATCGCCCTTTCAGTCCTACATCGTTTTCTTCTACATCGTGCACAGGACAAGCAGACAGTTCATCGTGTCCTCCTTTAATTATATCATGGCTGAGTGAATTCTAAGGATGATACTGAAATTGTAGGCAAAAGATGTAAAGCTCTTCTTGAGGTTAAGGTTTCCTTTATGCTTAAGTAGCAAAATGAGAGCCACTGCTGACCACGGAAATGACGCCTAGGTACTTTCTCCGCCCCCAGTTGGACCTTTGGTACAAGCTGTCTAGCCACTGTGGTGCTTCAGGGAACACGAAAACTACCCAAACGAACGATCCTGACCCACGCGTCACCGTCCGAGGAGGGCGGCGTCTAACTGCAGGCTACGTACTTACTTGCCCAGTGCAAAGCACTCCATCTTCACCGTCGTCCCCTTCGCAGCTGCTACCACCGGGGGAAAATGGACCTCAATTTTCGGCTCGTACTCTCCCATCACACCTGGGAGATGAAGAATAGTTTTTAAGCATAAAGGGAATGTTACCATTTCTTTCTGAAAATGTGTTGAAAATCCCTGTGGCTTGGTTGTTAATGTGTGCCTGATTACTGCTAAATTTTTTTGATGCATTGAAATAAAAAACATATTTAGGCTCAATCACTGTGATGAAATTCTGGTATTCACTTGAGGTCTGCGTCGGGTACCTGTTCAATACTTAAAGTGATGATTGTTCAACGGGTAGCACTAATAGTTCAGTTACTGATGATCTTACAATGTAAATAATGATGAAACCTTTCCCAAGGCAAACCCCTGACTTCTAAAAAGAAGCTGTAAGAACATTATGACTGGCAGGTAACCAAAATTTATTCATTAAGTCATATTTTTAAGCACCGCATGTTAAGATATTTTATTGAGATATCTAGAGGTCTCTGCTTAATTGGCCACATACCATGATTTCAGCACTCAAGAGAGAAAAACAACATATCCTCAAGACAGGGTGAAAACTTTGTTTTAAAATGATGTACTTCCCAAACAGGAAGTGAGGGCCATGCGGGCCTCTCCGGGACAGGAAGTGATGAGGCTAGGGCTTCCACCCAGCAAGGCAAAGAGGCTTCGAAGCAGTCAGGAACCAAGGGAGATGAAGCTATACAAAAGTAACACAAAAAGGAAAATGCCAGAAAAAGCATTTTTCTGGTATGTGACGTGCAAGTGTAGATGGAGAAATGCTTGACCATCAGAGGAAAAGGCGTGGACGGTGATCTGCACCTAGCGTGGAGCCGTTGGGTTCTGATCTGGGGAGTGGTATTATTCTTCATGTGTGGTCAGGGTCCAGACAGGTGAGCCAATCGCATTATTCAATATTCCAAGTCACAAGGAATAAAAGCCAGACTTTGAATCACAGTCAACAGAGGAAAGAGACTGGATGGGGAAAGCCAGTGAAGATGGCAGAACAGCACACCATGTCCTCTGCTGACAATGGGGTGGATGCTGTGAGCAGTAACACTGGGGGGGAGGCGTGGTTCCGGAGTGGGGGAGGGGGAACACAGCTACAGCAGGGAGCTGATGGCCTCCAGTAGGAGTTCTGTGAAACCAGAGAGAACGTCATAAGGAAGCAACTGACCACATCAAGCAAATACAAGAATGAAGCTTGGACGGCTCCACATGATGGGGAGACACGGCCCGCGGTTTAGAGGTGGCTGGGGTGTGCTGCACCGTCCAAGGCCTTTGTCACAGAGGACCAATGCAGGCCAGCCTGAGCTCATCTCCTTCTCTATATCCTCCTAGGAGCTCCCTGAGCACAGGCCTCTGTGCAGGTGCAGGGCTGAGAGGGGAGGGGATCCAGGCAGCAAAGTGCGAATCGCTGCATGTACAAAGGGAGAGAGCTGGTGTGGGCAAGGGCCATCTTTACGCTCTTGTTCACCCCTTTTGTCATGTGTAAGCTCATTGAAGATTATCTTGGCTTTTTGTGCTGTTTTGGCCAAGCTGATGGCACAGAAGTCATCAGTGATATTTTCATAGCAGAAACTAGTCTTCTAGACCCAGCTCTGCTAATGAAAAGACTGCACCATCTCGGTCAGGGCTGTAATCTGTCAACGGAGGGTATGAGGGAGCCTTCATGTACTTATATACATGCCTGTGCTAACAGACGCACTCGAGCCCTGCTCCCGAGTGTAATGAACCTGGCAGGCCCAGTGAATTCATGGTCAATGCACCCGGTCACCCGTGACCTACGCTTACTTGTCTGCTACTTCCGCACTGATGCTCTCTTCCATCGCCTTTTCAAATCTCTTTCCCGGCCTGCTGCCACAGCGTCAACTTCTTTTCCTTTAGTCTTCACTGTGCCCTTTTTACTCCACATCTCCCTTAGCTGTTTACACAGCAGGAGATCCGCAGGAGCCCCGCAGAGTTGGTGCCTAGCATGGGGAGGTTTACATCAAGCCCCGACATGAGGGTGGTTCAAGTTTCCGGTCGGTGGGCAACTTTGCTCCAGCGAAGCCAACATCAATGCCTTTGCTGATTTACCTTTAACATTTTTTACGTTGATTCTGTAGAGTCCTTGTTCCTTTTCTTCCCATGAATCTGGTGATTCAATGACAACTGATTTATCAGTTATTAAGCCTCAGCCCCGCATGGCGGGGTCTCCTGGGAGTTCATGACTACCGACCGGCACAGAGGCTGCAGAAGTCAGTCCTAACTTAGCAAATCTTTCCTTGGAGTTCAAAGAATCTCAGAAGACAGGGGTGTGAATCTCCAAAGATCAAGCAATTTATCTTGATTCCCTGTCCCAACTCCCTTTAGAACTCAATTTTATACGAACACATTTGCATTCTGTTGAAGAAGCAGCTAAAGTGAACCTGTATATTAAAACTAAATGAAAAAGCTTGATTAGGAGGCTTTAGATTGCAATAACTAATTTGAGCTGCACTACAAGGAATTAGAGCCAGTTCCTTTTAGTTTTACTCTGAGAGCCATGACATAAGTAGAGGCGAGAAAGCTCTTTAAACACGTCTGGCATGTTACCAATTGATCAAATTCAGCAATTAAGTTTTGCTTTGTGTTTCATGGGGGACCTAGCCGAGCTATGTGGTTTATGAGCCTCTCAGGTCACAGGCAGCTCGGCTCATGATTTTCCCCACTGGTTGGTCTGAGGCTGCAGAAGTGGCAGCCCGGGAGACTCCAGATGGGAGGTCCGATGCTGGGTGTGTCTCCTCGGGCATGTGACCCCACTGACCCTCAGCGAGTCCCCCTCTTGGTCCAGCCACTCACCCACCTCCCCCAACCCCGCACCTCCCCTGTCTGGACCCCGGTCCGTGGCTGCTCTGCTTTAGACCCGCGTGCTGAGACCCCAGTGCACCCAACTCCGCACACACGAAGACTTTTGGCTGACAGGAGGGTCCTCTCCTCCTAGGTTTTTATGGTTGTTGACTTTCTTACTTATCCTGGCTCTGAGAAGAGCCAAGGCGCATCTCTTTAAGCGCAGTTTAGAGCATCGTCTCCCCAAGCATATTGCAGAATGGGGAAATAATGACATCAGAAGGGTCTGGACAAACACAGGGTCTAACTCTAAGACTAGTAATGGTGTTTTTTTTTTTATGTTGGTCTAATGAAACCCAAATTTGGACCTCCTATATCTCTGGTTTTAGTCACATTACTTATAATTCTAGACTACCATATGTGTACCAGACTCACATGCTTGAAAAACAAAGGCACACGGAAGGTCTGCAGCCACACTGTGTTCTGTGGGGCTCCCGGCATGGGTGCGGCCATCCGGCTCTGTCCTGGCTGCTGCAGATCTGGGAGCTTCCTGGCATGGGAGAGTCTAGAAGGTGGACGGTGCCTGGGGAGGTGTACTGCATCAAAGTGATGGCCGGGTTACCACGTGAATTACTTAATGAGTAACTTGTGGTTTTCTTTTAATTCACCGCAAGTGTATGCGCTATCAGAGTTTCGTGTATTACAATACTTGTTTCAGTGAATGTTTTGCTTGTTATTTATTTTTGCCGCTGCACTGAAGAGCCTGAGTGCAAATACGGAGCACAGTGCCATGGAAACTCTCTGGTCAGGAAAGAAGGAGTCTAAGTAAATAACAACAACAAGCCACAAGAACTGTGATGATGAAAACGAGAGGGGGGGAGGGAGGGAGGGGGGGATGGGGAGGGAGGGAGGGAGGGGCCACTGCCCTGTGCACATCCCGGTGCTGTGCTGGGTGTGCCCTCCTCCTCCTCCTCACAGGACCAGCGCACAGATGCCCCAGGACTCCTGCCAACCTGGGATTTCCAAGTGAAGGACACGATTCTCAAGCACTGCCCTGGCTCTGCTCTGAGATACAGTGAACAGCAAGCTTCTGGGACTGAGAAATCTAACATGACACAGGGCAGGGGTATTATTCAATATGTTTCTCTTTGCTTACTGCTTTCAAACTTATCGAAGTTTGAGTCACTGAGAAACATGTCCACTTTCTTTTCATTTCCCTAATGAATGATTGATAAAAAGCCAATTTCGAATGCCTGGATGGAAAGGAACGCATTGGAGGTGTATACCCTGAGTCCTTTCCAGAGCTGGTCTCTGCCATGTAATAAAGGGATTGAAGGGTCTCCTGACAAGAGGAAGAAGAGCCTGAGCGGTCACAGATAAATGCAGCACGAGTGTCCTCTGTGTAGAGAGACATGGAAAGTGGAGAGCTATGTCATTAGGAGAAAGTGGTTTTATCATTGTTATGTATACTCTAAAAATCAGAACACCAATAGATTTACTTTTCCCTCCAAGTATCAAGAATAAATTGGTCAAGGAGCAGTTGCACACTGTAATTGCTTTCCTCTGATGACTGAATTTTAAACTTACTCTCCTTTTCTGCTCTTGCCACTGTGATTTAAGGAAATGCACCTGTCTCTCTCCTTGCTATTAAAGGCCCATTCCATGTGCAGCAATATTGTAGAAAAAAGATCTTATAAATTAAGGCCTAGAGAAAGCAACTATATATTTCCCCAACACATAAACTCCTCTGACATGGAAATAGCATCACAGATATGGACCAAGGTTTCAAAACTTGGTAAGGAAGGGTTGTAGACTGATCTTCAGTGAGAGTCTGCACTGTTTTCCTTTAAGAAAAAGGAATTTGTCATAAGAGGACAATGTCTTTACACAATTATAGGACCTTCTCTACATATATATTCACTACATTGTAGCCATTTCATAATAAATACATAACAAAACCCTTAAAAATGTTTTAATGTTTGACTTTGTGAGGCATCTCTGGGTGTCTTTCTGCCTGTCTGCATACAAACAGAATTTGTGAATATTAAAAAAGCTTTCTGATTACCAGGAAAACATTTGACACTTTGGCTGCTAGGAGCCTCCGGGCAGCCTGTGTGGATGGGGTTCCAGGCAGACCCCACCTTCGCTGCCCAGCTCTTCCCCGGCTTCAGCAGCAGTGCGTGACCGTCTGGATTCAATACAGATGTGTGATAAAGAGTGATGCGCAAGACACACCGCAGTGCTCAGC